CGTCCAACTTTAAACTTACGTAACAACTACTAAACTACTGCCCCCCACCCCACCACACACACAGTTTCACAGTGAAAAGATTTCACTTCTTTGTAATAAATAAATAAATAAATAAATAAATAAATAAATAGAAATAGCAGTAGTATCTTTAATAATTATTCAATTTCATCTTATAAACAATACTATAGATTGTTTAGAGAAGACAATGTAAATACAAAAAAAAAAAAACCGATATGAAATGTGATACGAGATTGTCCTGGGAAATGACAAAAAAAAGTTTCATTATCTGTTGTACACGCAACGCACAGAAACAGGACTTCAAGGCCGTTCCGTTGATAGACGATATTCGTAGATAAAAGTACACCATTCGTACAGATCTTCTTACAACGGGTCTTGTGATTGGGCAGTTGATTGTTTGAAATTCTGTTTAGCAAGAAAGTATTCTTTTACAAAGGAAATGTAATCCACTTATACTCGTCATATGCTATATCACGTGAAGAACTATGGACGCTCGAGTTGAATGATTAATTTTAGTTTGTTTTTAGCTTGCATCGTTTTTCTGTATTAAGTTCCTCAGTGAGGTACCTAAAAAAAAAAAAATATATAATATAAGCTAACCACGGTAGATGTATATTAAAAATTTCTTTTCACTACCGTCCTCAATATATGTTAACTTATTAGTCATCTTGTGGGAAATTAAGAAAGCCTGCTAGTGTTTGGATGCTTGTGTGTATTCTCATGATAACTTGGGCCAATTAGATTATTCAAAAAACATGTATAGCCAAAAGGTTGGTTGTTAGTTCCAATTACAGCCAGTAAAGGAACACTATCGTGTATAATAGTGTTGGTTTAGTCACAGGGCCAAGTAATGAACTAACTAGTTAGTTATTTTTGAAAGTTCAAAAATAATTCGACAAAGCTACGAAGTTTGTGGATGTTAATCAAAAAAACTATCGTAACTTTTTAACTGTGGGAGTGCCCAGGTAGTGTTTGATTGGCGAAGAAAGACTTAAATTAACAGTTGATAAATTAACGTTGCTGTAGCAGCCTGGTATTACCTTTAGAAGAAAAAGAAGACTATACAATAACGATAGTTTCCGTATCTGAGACAGAGTGGCTTCAGTTTCACAAGTGACATTTCTGTTGAAACTGGAGTTTTTATACAAGTGAAACTACCTGTCTTACATTCCTGCTAACATTCGAGGAGTTCGTGTAACTGAAACCTCTTAGTTTTACTATTTGGAAACTGACAAGCAGTTGGTAGTGAGAGTTTTGTCTATGGAATTATCTATTCTGGTTTTAAATGTAAAAATTATGATTTAAAAAGTACTTAGTCTAACTTTATTGTTTGCAAGAGTATAACGTGTTGATTAGCCTCAAAACATTAAGAAATTAAATACAATGTCCCATTATCTCGTAGTATTTGTATATAAGCCTAATAATTGTAGAATCTTAACTTAAAAACTACCACGCACTTGCATTCCATATACTACTAAGGCGGGAGTGGCCTAGTATTAGCGTATCGGAAGGTCCAAGGTTCAAGCCTGCGATATGCTTCCGCATCACTTCCCAGTTTCAGCTATGGGCACGTTATAAGTGACGTTTAATTCCGCTATTTCATTAAGAGTCCACTCGACGTGGATTCCTGTACGTGGTGAGGGGACCTCCCAGGGAAGGTTCTGTATTTTCAGTTACTTCCTCTGGGATCTAAACATCCACCCACGTTGTTTGCCGTGCATGGCAACCCGTGAAGGGGGGGGGGGGAGGGATCCTGGTGGTTGAGTGGTGTCTGGGGCACTGCAGCACACCACTTTGGTCTTGAATTCCTGTAGACTGGTGCCCCCCAGGGTCAATCGGCTGATCCATTCGGGCTAGTCAAATTAGTACCAATGTTGTGGACATAGTGTCTGATGCGGGTATTTGGGTATAGTGCTCACGAAACCCTGGCGTTGCTGCAGTGTCCTTGTTTGACATTGTAGTGTGTCCCCTCGTAGGATTCTATGGCGGATGGGATCAGTGAGCACTGAATCTCTCCTTAATTATGGATCTACCCCAATCCAAATAATAATAAAAAAAAAAATAAGTTAAATTCTGCTAATCAGTAAACGACCATGCCTAGAAGACTCTGACAGCAGTCTCCAACACAAAGTACACCTGTACCTCGCTTCCTGATACTGCATTCACTATTCGATAAATCTTTAAGGCAAATGTCTCCCTTATTTATTCAGAAGGAATTGGAGGGACTTGCTGGCTCTCCAAAGTCAGTTAAGAAGCTCCAGAGACATCTTGGTTGAAACATTCACAGCTAAGCACAGTGAATTCCTCTTGAATTCAAAGGTCATTAGGGATGTACCCATTGAGGTTACTCCCCACGCTTCCTTGAATTTCTCACGAGGGGTTATTGTTGAGAGGGGTTTGAAGTCTATCCCTGAGTCAGAGATCCTTGCTGGTTTCTCCAGCTAAGGAGTTTCACCAGTTCGAACGATCTCCACTCGTCAAGATGGTATTATGGTGTGGACCTCAGTTCTTATTTTGACGTTTTCATCACCACGTCCACCTGCCACTGATAAGGTGGGTTATTTGGTAGGGCCCTATATTCCCAACCCTCTCCAATGTTTTCAGTGCCAGCAGTTTGGTCATTTGAAGACATCTTGTCTTGGTTCTGTGACGTGTGCTCGTTGTGATGGCAAGACCACGACGCCTAAGAATGCAAACTGGACCCTCAGTGTTAATTGTAGTGGTTCCCGTCAATCTTACTTTAGGTCTTGCCCTAATTGTGTGGAGGAGCAAGAGATACGGCGTTTGAAGACTGTTCACACCATTTTTTATCCAGAGGCTTGGAAGCTATTGTTCTCTACTCCATCTCAGACATATGCGACTGCACTATGCTCCACTGCTACAGTGAAAGTGCAGATGGACATTTCCGTGTCTCCATTTGAGTCTTTTTCACGTCATGTGAAGGGTCTTCTGCCCTCCATGGATAATGGTTGATAGGTCTGTCTACTCCAATCTATGTCCCCCACTATTCCTTCCAGTGACTGCCTGGGTCAAACTTCTCAGGCACCAGCCTCTGGTGTTTGCTCGGGTCCTTCTTTGGTCCCTAAATGCAGGATGATCATTTGATTCTCACTCTGACAGAGATCTGCCCACTCCATCAAGGGCAGGATCCATGGAGGTCGATCGACCTCCAT